ATCTGTGCACGGGTTTAATAAGAGCTGCAGCTGTGAAAAATATACTTCTGCAACGTGGTTTTTGAGGGAAAATATGAATGTGACCTGTTTTTTTTATTTTCATGCTCATTATTGTCCTTGGCCTATTCATTTACACACATGGCTATGATCGTTTCTCTAAACAATGGTCAAACATGCAACCCCTGGGCCAAATCTGACCTATATGGTCGGCACGGTGGCTGAGTGGATAGCACTCTCCCCTCTCAGCAAGAAGGTCCTGAGTTTGAATCCTGGTCGTACCAGGGCCTTTCTGAGTGAAGTTTGCATGTTCTCCCCGTGTCTGCGTAGGTTTCCTCTGGGTACTCCGGTTTCCCCTACCACTAAAAATATGTACAATAGTTCTGGCATTCAATAGTTCAGGACAAATGCCCAAAAATAACAATTGTAAAACTGCTTTGAGACTCAGATGTGCAGTGAAAAGACGGTATATAAATAAAGATTACTACTACTATATTAGACCTATGTATATGACACCATTTTTGTTGTCAGTTATTATTTGATTTGATCTATTTGGGAAAGCTCTCATTTCCAAGAGGGTCCAATGAACATAAAACAGACACAATACGTACTGTACAATTCAACACCATTATGAATTCATTATGAATTTCCAAGCACTGATGATAAGAGGTTCCATAGTAAGTTATACACAATTGTAAAGCTACTTCTGTTCCACAAGAAAACAATAGATAAATTCAGGCTTAACTCATTAACTGCCATTGACGTATTTGTCTTAGACCCTCTATTCGACTGGGAATTACAGGACAATAAAAATAGCTAAAAAAACAAACTTATTTTGCTAACCCTAACCCAAAGTAGACAATCCAGTCTTTAAGAATCTGGTTTCACATTTAACATAGTCTTAGGAAATAATATTCTATGGTTCTTGAGAATCAGTGAAATCATCAAAAACAGCTGGCAGTCAATGACTTTTTAAGATTTATTTCAACACGCAAATTCTAACAGTAAAAAATTGCATTATTTACTTATTTACTTTTGGTTAAATTTTGGCTCAATCCACAGAACTGAAACCATCTTAGAAAAATCTACAAGGGAAAGGATCAAAACTTCAAATATAATATAAAATACCCCTAATGTAAAAAAATAGATATAAAGCTGGATAAGACGTATTGCCGATAGATATTACTACTTTCTGAATTAGTCATGTCTGTTTTATGACTGTAGTTTAGTTGTTGTCCAATACGAGTTTCGTTCTTGTTTGAATGATCAATGTTGGTTTTGAATTTGCATTTATATTGAACACCAAGCAGATCATAATTGTAATGCAACAGGTGGGCATTGTTTTAAAAGTGGTATTACTATGTGCTCTCATCCGGCTCAAAGACCATTTGCCTCCGACCAAATCCGGACCTAAGGAAAATTAGATTGAAAATCCCAATAGGAATCTGAATAACCCTAATTATATTACTGTACTGCTTGTTTTTGCAAAAGAAAACATAGCATGGCATTCCTTTCTACCTCCTTCCTGGCTTAAGCATTTTCACTTTCACTTTCTCTGCCAATAATAGCCTTCCACCTGACCTGTCCAAACAAAATCCTTCTCACTTTGTTTTACTTTAAGCCTAAAATCCCCCCATCGTGTCGCTGTTTACATTTCCAAACCGGCCACATTCTCAGCCTTATAAACATCTCCCTGATTATTAGTGCATTGGGCCTATGTTTACTGAAATTAAAAGGCGTCTCTGCGGGAGCGCCTGGCAGTCATTACCCAGGGCTCAATTTGTCCTCTGGATTCTGCACGATTTTTTGTTTTCAGAGAAGAGCAAACAACTATGAGGCTTTTTTTACCTGTCTGACAAGAATAACTGGACTGTAGCAGGGACAATGTCATTACGTTTAATTTCATAAAAAAATATCATAGAGATATTTGCACAGTGCTGTAATTTATGCTCCGTCAGATCAAATGTGGCAACACTTGGTTGATTTCTTCTGATTTTAGGTTTCTTAAGTCATTCAAGTTTTATTCAAATAAACAGGTTCAAAGGCAATTTTTTCCGTTGGGTCGTTTGGGTATTGTTGCAAAACCAGGGCTTATTTTGTAAATCACAAAAGAGACTTTAGATTTCTTTGGTTTATTGGGTTGTTCATATGCACGCTTTCTCAGGACAAATAACTATATTTGATTCCAAATATATTACAAATGAAAGAATGTGTCTGAAACCTTGTGTTTTACAGCTAAGTTCTCATTGGTTAAGAAAATATTTATGATATCATGGTCCATTTCTAGCCAAGAATCAATGTGAAGTTCAAATATTTGTTTCCTTGTTAAAAATCTCTCCTTTTTGCATCAATCGAGTTGGTTAAGTAAGGGATAACTTAACCTTCAGGGCAGAAGCTTCGAGCTGTCGGTACTTATTTTCCAATAATGACCTGCGTACTATACGTTATCGCACTTATTACACGGCTTTATACCAACAGAACACACAACATAAACTTCAGTCCACTTTTAGGAATGCCGAAAGGTTTATTTAAAATAAGAAAGAAAATAAAATAGTTCCCAAAGGCTTTCCCGTGGCTATGCTAGCAACAGTTAGGCTAGTAACTTCCAAACTAGAACTCTCTGGAACTGCATGAAAAAAAACTGAACAAAGAATTGTGAACATCAGCGGTGAGTGACCCAAACATAAACTTAACCTAAATCCACAATTCCATCCTCAGCAAATGTTCCTAAAATGTGCCGGTATCTACTTCCGGATTTTTCGGGATCGCCTTTTCTCGCATTACATCAGTGTTTTTGTCATGAAAACGTAAACGGAAAATTCTGAAAACTTCCGTGCACTTGTATTAAGAATGTATATGTATTCTGTATTCTCCGATTAACATTTCATTGTGTTGATTGATTGGCATTTGCGTTTAATGAGCGTGGCTAGCTCCGGAGTGGCTGGAACTACTTCCGGGTTACTCATGATTGCTTTTTGACGCAGATAAATAGTATTTTTGTCATGAAGACGGGAGCAGTAAATTCTGAAATCCTCCGTGCACATGTGTGAAGAATGTATATGTATAAAGTATTCTCCGATTAACATTTAATTGTGTTGATTGATTGGTATTTGAGTTTATTGAGCGTGGCTAGCTCTGGAGTGGCCGGAACTACTTGCGGAGTTATCCACGCATTTGAAAGACAAGCAGAGAGTGCGTTGCCAAAGGGCAGCGGTCATTATTGTTTTGAGAGGTCCGTTATAAAAAATAATGACCGGTAGAACGTTTTGAAATTACATTCAAATCAATGGAGCGTTCTACTGCTGCTGTGAGGAGCCGTGTAATAAGATGAAAATAGTATTAATATGGTGACATTTTTTGAACCATCCACACAAACATCAGGAACTGCCTCTTTAGTCTAAAAGCTCCTGTTGCTCAGAGCAGCTTTGTTGGCTTTTTTTTTTTTTTTTTTAAGTATCACCCGTAAAATAGTTTTGGCAATTTCTCAAGTGAAATGACATTCTTCACAATCACACAGGCAGTATTTGCAGCCGATAGTTTACAAATGTGTGAAATAAAACAAAAGAAAAACAAACCTTCCATCAAGTGCTAGCATAGAGATTTGCAGACTGATCAAAAACATGTATTGTTAATTGGCAGATTATGTCTCAAACGAACATGGTTAGATTTCTATCTGCTCTGAGGCTCCGGGTCAAGGCAAAGCACAGCCGGACATCACACACGTTGTGACAAATGGCCGCTCCACAGGCTCTAATGGTTTTCTGCTGAGTGCATTCATGTCCGACTGCAGTAACATGTTGTCGCTCTCGGGTTTAAACGCTTGCCTCGCCTTCAACTTAAAACGACCTACTATTTATCTTGTCACAGCACCAGATTAAAAAGGACCACAAGGGGGTTTTGCAAGAGAAAATGAAATTGAACCTAAGCCGATAATTTATAATAATTTTCTCCTTTAAACTTTGCAATAGTTTGAAACTCTTGTATCACTGTTCTTGCCTCAAACCATCTGTTTTTCTGAATATTTTCAACCTGTGTCGATTTTTAGCGCTTTTTAATGCTGTGTTTTTGCTGTATTGCAAAGACTGACATGTAGTTCAGCCAAAAACAACTATTTAAAACAACTATATGAATTTACTAACATAATTCCAAATGGCACAATTTATGTGTTTTCGTAGATTTTGATTGGAGCACAAAATACCTTTGTACATAGGGACTTATTACAGTATAGTATATATATTACAAGTATTTATTTGTATATGAGTATACATATAATGCATGAGTGTATATCTTTATAAAGCTAATGATATATGTTGTTTTGTTTCTTTTTAAGTATAGAGTTGTGCTATACTTAATATTCTCTTATTTCTTGCACAACATGTTCCTCATTCCTACTCTGCTTTGACTTGTGGTGCAACACTGACATTTCCCCACTCTGGGACAAATATAGCATCTCTTAATCTGTCATCTTTCCTTTAAACAGTATGCTTGATTTTTTTTGTTTTAAATAAATGAATCAACATTTTAATTATTAGTCACTTACATTTCTTAAAATTCATGTATCATGTTTTTTTTTCTCTCCAACATAATTATATCTGTACAAGTTCCTTTTTAAATCCAGGTAGAGCCACTTTTGCATGTAACCAAAGGGAGACGGTTCTTCTGACTGAATAAGATCTGGGAGATACTTGGGATAATAATGACAATAGTTCCCAGTTCTGAATTGTTCAAAAACGCATTTTGTTACCGCTATGACTCTGTGTCTTTAAAAAGGGCATCGCTAAAATAGCACGGAGCCAACACAGTTATCAAACAGTAGCGAGTGGCTTCGAAAGCAGAACTAGAAATAGCCGTATAAAAATAGAATCCGTGTGTAAATGTGTGTTCTGAATGAGCAAACATCAAACTAAGTCAGCCCAAGATCATTTCCAAAAACGTTCCTCTGGGATTTGCCATTTTGCATTTTTGCCAGTTATTGTTAAACCGAAAACCCAAACGCCACCGACCTTGACATGTTGAAGCTGCAGCACCAGGTCATCCAGCTGGTTTCTTTTTTCCTCAATTTCAGTTTGTCGTTTTCTCTTTTCCTACAAAAAACACAAAACAGACACATTTTATTAATGATCAGAATTTTTCAACAATAAGAAGGGATTTCATTCTAGGGGTTGTTTCTATGCTTTGTTAATTGGACTGGCTATAAGAAGATTGGCGCAAGTCCAAAAAAGAAGCTGGAAAGTTAAACCATTCCCCGCATGGACACGAAAAAAGGTTTAAGTCTGTAAATGTGAGGAAGAAAAAGTTGTTCATTTGTTTTAGTTTTATTGTTTATTTGGTTGGGACAGTACGCGTTATGAGCACTCACAACCACACACTCATTCCCCCTGGACTTTTGTAAAAAAAAATGTAATGGTAGGGGAAACCGGAGCACCCGGAGGAAACCGGAGCAGACATGGGGCAGACAAACTTGTGCTCAGAAAGGCCCTGTTCCGACCGGGATTCGAACCCTTCTTTCTGAGAAGCGACAGTGCTATCCCCTCAGCCACCGTGTCGCCATTAAGTATGCAGAGTGACTTTTATCTATGGAATTAAAAGATTAAATAATGTAATGAGGATACTTTAAAAATAATCGCAAAAACATAGTCTTCATGAGAAATGTCTCTGTTTAGGACAAATTAAATCAAGCTTGTACCGTGTGGGAACGTTGATTTCCAATGACTCAAAATGAGTCTGAATTACAGTTTTGTTTTCTTTCTTGGAATATTTAGAAACTAAACCAGTTTCTACTTTCACCTCCTTTTCAAGCATGTGTTTAAAATGCTGATGAATTCTAAAGGTTTTGGTGCTATATTTTTTCCTCACGCAGCATGTCTGGTAGAAAATAATAAATACATCAAATCAAAACCTGCTAGTTCAAAAACTTGTGAATGTATGAAAATGCTTTTAATTGGTTTTTAAAATCAGTTAATAACAAGTGGATGTAGGTGAGGGATTTGTCATTGTCCGGAAGTATCAGCTGTGTATTTTTAACAGACGCAGAATGAATGAAATGAGGTGAATGGTAAAGTGTTGATAAAGAACAGATGCACTTTCATATTGTAAATTTTAATTTAAGTCTATGTAACCAGGGACTGCAGAGGGAAACTCGCTTTTTCGTAGTAATCTTGTGCAGAACATTTCGGTCTCAATGAGATTTATGTCTTTGTTCACTGTCCCTTCAATAAAGATTAAAGTAATTTCAAGCTTTGACAAATGCAGAACATTTAATTAAAAGACCAGAAATCCAATATATGCAAGAAAATCAAGCTCTTCAGTATTCTATAATAATGTTACTTAGAGGTTATATTTTCTTTCATTTTGCCATGTTGTCACATGATAACCACATGGAAGCTCTTGGGGCAGTTATTTCACCATTGCCAAGTAACATGTTCCTCACATGTAGCTTTTTGTAGACTAACTTTGAAAATAACACACACATCATATTTATTTATATACTATAAATACTATATATACATATACTGTATGTGTACGTTTAACACATTCTTTTTGAAAGCCTGCAAGCTCCAGAAAGATTTCCTTAGGGACAAATAAAGTAGGAATGGACAGAAATGCTTTTTTTCCCCTGGCCAAGTTCAATACTTGTGTTTCTGCATGGCCTTTACAGATATTTGCTGATGACAATACAAGACAATTCCAAAAATAATAAAAAATAAATATTTTCATTCTTTTTTACAACACAATTTCTGACTTTTATCTTTAATTATCTTAAATCATCAATTAGATCACAGTTTCATTTATGCCAATGCTTCTTGATTTACCAATATGTATATCCTGCATCCCAAAAATAACTCACTTTAAATCTGAAGAGAGAGAGATATGAGGTTTTTATCAGTCCACGGGGGCATGATAAGTCCCCAGGCAACCTTCAAGGCTAAACTCTGGGTGAAAGTGAGGTGACGAAACGACCCCTTCATAACTTCAGCAGGAGGTGACTCTGTTGGGAGGTGGTTTTGGGAGGATATGGAGTAAAGGAGAAGCTTGAAATGAGAAACATTAGTGAGAGAAACAGCAGGTCGTTATCTTTGATCTAATGTCTGGGAATACAAACACAACACAATCCTAGAGCTGAGGTGAAGGCCACGAGATACCGAGCCACACTCTCACTGGGATACGTGGGACGCTTCCTGCTTGCTAAATATAACCATGTAAAAAGAGGGAAATTCCAAAAAAGACCTTGTGTGGACAACGCTGTGACATAATGTTGAGAGAGACCGCAAACGGAACTGATGGAATATTGTTGTTGTTATTAAATGCTGCAAATATACTTCATAAAACGTTGACAGAAAATACAAATTTGTTGAAATCTTCTTATAGGAACAATTATGTGCAATGTTGGTCTCTTAAAAAATCAAGGTTGGTATTTTTATTTATTTATTTCCCATTAGGTACCAACTAACATAATTACTACATTAGCTCCAGGACAATTTCCTTTCTTGTTGTGTCCAGGGACAGAGAAGTGCTTTGGGGAACATAGCAGAAGTCAGCCCATGTGACTGTGGTCCAAAGTATAAGTTAACCACAGGCTTCAAGTAAACCAAACTGGGAACGTTTTGTGAAAAGTACACAGACAGTAACCACATGTCGCACTAAATCAGTCAAGTTGAAACCTCATCAAACAATGAATACTGTTGCAAATACTTGAAAATGTAACTTTCAAGTCAACGGGTTAACCCAAGACATCATATTCTATTGGTACATTAAGAGGTAAAATGAAAGGTGAGGTCCATCTACTTCTCTAACGTAGGATGTGAAAGTAATATATGTTGTGAGACATGTCAAGCCGTTTTGTTAACATGATTGGTAATCATGGCTCACAAGAAAAAAGAACATCTCAGAATATTGGAATATTTGGAAAATTGATGGACTCCAAGTACAATATTGGTTTATTTTAAGCTACAGAAATAGATTCACTTTTGTATATTATTCCAACTTTCTGAGTTCCACCTGTATAATGTCTTGTAGACCTGCAGGGTTACATGTACCTTATCCAGCCCGCACATTTGAATACTGCAAACTAAGTGAAGGTAAGTGGATGAAAGCCCTCTTCTACTGCCCACTATGCAAAGTACAGTGCATTTGCGTCAATTATATGCAAACTTTTCCTTTTTTCTGTAACCAAGACAGAACTGTGTTAGGTCCAAGTGCATGTACTGTATAGGCTCCGGTGAACTTGTTCCAAATATTAGCACGTCTTTGTGGGTTAGAAATATTCACATTGTCATGATACATTTGGTTTGTTTATCAGTATGAAAATATCGGTACAGATTCAGAAATGCCTGTTGAATGCCTTGTTAAATTGTTATAGTGTATTTTTCTATTGTTGGATTGGTAGAGCAGTGTCGGCAGCAGCGCCAGCCTCCTCCTCAGTGAAATATGTTGACATTCTGACAGAATGAAGTCTCCCTCTCGACTCCCAGCCTTTGGCCCCACTTGGCCTGAGTGTTGGAGCTCAGAGCGAAGGCCGTTCCGCAGATCTGCTTTCGTCACCACGGCGACTGACAGCCCCAGCGTTATGTGTGGATCGGACGCTCTGATATCACAGTGAAAACCAACCTGCTGCTGAAATGCTGATGTGTTAATATGAACTGTAAACACATCCCACCTTGTCATAAACTACAGCTCACCCTTTGGGCCTCCTTCCACACAGTGTATGTGCAACTCAGATATACAGACTATACTTTATCCCACCAGGAGACATTTATTAGAGCTAATTAGCATAATGGAATAAAACACATTATAATAATGTACATAGAAAATGTCACGACACAAATATATGTTTACTTCCTGGACAGCTAGGGCATGAGTACCCTTTTGTTTAAGGTTCATGTTTTACATCTGAGATAATTTCTCATAAAAAAAGGTTTTATTTTATCCTTGAACCAAGTGCCATCATAATTTATTATTTCATGTATTATCTTTTATGTTAAATGATAGCTCCTGTTTGATGTGTGGCATCTGAGTGCCCTTATTTCCTCCCTTTATTCTGCTTAAACGTGCACAACAATGACGTTGAAATAACCCCACAAAAGACAAGAAAATGTCGCCACATGTTTGAACTATTATGCAAATGAGCATATACTGTACATATTCTAAGTATTGTGAGGACAGTACTCTGGTTGGATCATGTAACGGAACACGTACATCAATACATTAAACAGGTATTCTGTAACTAAATACATTTTCCAACATTGATAAAATACTTTATTAATCATGAAAGACCGACAAAGTATCTTTCTACTGTATCTATCTATTTATCCATCTGTCTATAAGTAACTGAAACACAAGATACATTTTTTTTTAAAAAGATTAATAAAAAAGGAGGAAGCACACTTTCTTTCGTCCGTCCGTCCGTTTTCTTCCGCTTCATCCGTTGCCGGGTCGCGGGGGCAGCAGTCTAAGCAGAGACGGCCAGACTTCCCTATCCACACACACTTCCTCCAGCTCGTCCGGGGGGACCCCAAGGCGTTCCCAGGCCAGCTGAGAGACATAGTCCCTCCAGCGTGTCCTGGGTCTTCGAACACAGCTCTGGCTCCAGTCATACAGGGACCGAACAGCCCTCAGCAGAGGACCCCGGACCCCTTACTCCCTGAGAACCCCCCAAAGAACACCCCGGGGAACACGGTCGAACGCCTTCTCCAAATCCACAAAGCACATGTGGACAGGTTGGGCGAACTCCCATGAGCCCTCGAGTATCCGATGGAGAGTATAGAGCTGGTCCAGTGTTCCGCGACCGGGACGAAAACCACACTGCTCCTCCTGGATCCGAGATTCGACCATCGGCCGTAACCTCCTCTCTAGTACCTTGGAGTAAACCTTACCAGGGAGGCTGAGGAGTGTGATCCCACGATAATTGGAACACACCCTCCGGTCCCCCTTCTTATAGAGAGGGACCACCACCCCGGTCTGCCACTCCATCAGCACCGCCCCCGACTTTCTTTCGAACTTGGTGTAATCCATTCAACCATCACAATGGAAATGGATATTTGCTCATCAGCACAAAAACAGAGCTGGCCAATCAGCTCTCAGCTCA